ATGTCTTCGAAATATGCCACACCGCTCTTCAAGGGGAGCAACTGTTGTATATCAAAAAAATCGTAAAGTTTGGTTATTTTCCACTCGTATTGATTACGCTTAGGATAAGTTGGAATTAGTATGAGAATTACCTTGTTCTTCTTTACTTCTTTGGATTTGAAAGTAGTCTGTTCCCGAAAGTACTGGTAGCTCTGAAGTCGGCTTAATTGAGGGTTTGAAAGGAATTGGATCGATGTTCCTTCCCAATACTAAAAGTGTGGATGATCCAGCATGATTAGGCATCGCCCATGGGAGCAAACAAGAAGAAATATTGTTAGACGTACCGGGATTTTCACTTTCGAATATATCTAACTCGGGAAATTCCATCAAGTCCATTTCATAGTGATGAGTACTTGGAGTAGCTGGTTTGCCCTCTTCTGACCCAAGAGGAATTAATTGTTCTGCCAAATCCATGGTCTTATCTTCTACACAATTACTTAATGTGTTCAAAGCAGGAAGAACCAGAGGCTCCTGAAGCGCACTTAACTCTTTGATATGTTCGAGCCGATCCTTTATCTCTAGCAGAGAGGTAGATTCCACTTCTGGAGTTGATTTTGAAACGCCTCTACCTGTAGACTTTGGTAGACTGGTACTGGTCGGGCGGTCTGGAATTTGCTGTTGGATTGACTGTAGATAGAACAGGGTTTCAGGATTCACATTACGTGGTATGATTAAGGTTGTGAAAGTGATTCAAGATGATGATGAAAGTACTCATGTACAAGCTCGTAGGAACTCACCTTCTTCTTTTTTTTTGTCATCATGGTAGACCCACCGTGATCATCAGAAGACACTTGCTTTGCTTTTCGAGCAGGCCCCGTATCCGCAGGATTCAATGTGACTTCAGGTACGAGGTAACATGTGGAGAATGGCGGATCGAAAGAAACACGTTTTCCTTTACGAGGAGGAGGAGTACTTGTAGCGATTGATGTCAAGTCTTGTGGACTCCGACCACTCGTGGAAGGTGAAGGCATACGGTCTGGCAATATCGAATTAAACCTTGTTTTAAGCTTTTTCTCCTATCATCAGGGTGTCATAGACGTAAAGAGAAATGATGACGCACTATGAACCTCCATTCTCCCAAGCACATTTGATTGATCACTTGATTCCTGTTGTTGGCCCTGCAAATCATTGGAGTCCAGGGCTGGATCGTCGCTATCAGGGTTTGGAAAGACTGGTTAAGAAAACAATCCAAATGTTGAAATCTAATAGAATCAGATGCTGTTTTTGAGAGACAGATGAAACGAACGATGCGGCTGCGCCTTCCGCACTCTGGAGGCAAGCTGTGCTCGATTTAGTTTGGAGTGAAGGGTAGTTGTCTTGTCATGTTTGTAAAGCCACTGAGCCATGTCGTGCTTGCTAACACTTGGGTTGCTGGGGTCCAGAACAGTAGACATATTAGATAAATGCGCAGCGCGGTGACACAAGGAGTTGCTTGAAGGTGGCTTTATATAGACAGTCCCATAAGGAGGATGATCAAAAGTGTGAGTGTGATGATCAAGCCGAGCGGCATAAAGACATTCCACTTCATGAGCCTGCCTCGCGGTTTCAATGCTGACTTAAATTCTACATTATAAGTAGATGAACAATATGTCAATATACCAAAGCTTGCTAATTAATCGGACATTCATTTGCTTGTAAGCAGCATAGTCAATACACATATACGTAAACCAATTCGATTTTCGATCTCTTGAGGCATGATGCATAAGCCATGTTTTACTTCTGAATTACAGATAGGGAGAAAAGATTTGAACACGTAGATTATTTATCTTGTAAAGCTTCTTGTGGGAAGCGTAGCCACAAGGATGAATGCAGAATATTGGAAAGAATGTTGATCATGTATTAGATGATAGTGCGCAATAAAGAAGAAAAGAACATAAACGAAGCAAAGAATCGTGATGATTGAATCAAAATTGATACACGAAGTCAAGTGATCAATATTCTAGAAAGGAATACTGAGGCTACAATTTAAATAACTCAGAAGTAAAATCAACAAATGACAGGATTACACACAAACTGCATTCAAAAAAGGTTATAATCATGAGATAGGTGCTCTTGATACGTGATGAATTATCATTACTTCTGAGCAGCAGGAAAACAGAATATGTAGATGACACATAGTTTTCTATGTCAGTCAGAATTTTCTAAACCGTACGGAAAAGATGCACTTTGGTGTAGTGAAACTACACCCGGCCGCGAGGCAACTTAGGCTCAAGATCCTAACAACCAAGATCGACAGTAACTTTTGGACGAGAAGATTTTAATTTGCATCTCAGCTGACACATTCGAGGAGTCAGACTAGACCCCGCTTGTATGTTGCGCTCGAGGTCACATCAGATGACGTCGGTCTTAGCAACGTCCCACATTCACAAGAGGGTCGTCATCAGCATCTCAGCTACTAGTACTGCGTCATCTTTACTGTGGGCAGTGTAGTCGTTGAAATGGAAAGATCCATCAAGGTCAGTTGATTCAAAGACTTCAATCCTGGGAGACGGGGCTGTAGTCCTGTCAGGACTTGATCAGAATTGGAGAATCTAAGCCCTTGATCAGATTCACATGATCTTGACTGCTCCACCTACAATATTGCTTTTCTTGCCTACACATCATGGTCACAGCCATCTATCTAAATACTAAAAAGATGGACCACTCGCATGAGTTTCGGTCCCTTTTCTTACCCGTCCACCAGGTCCTATTTTGGATTTCATTCTATTGCTTTTTAAGCGTCTTATTGCTTCCCAGCACCGTTTCTTATTGCTTTTATGACTGTACAAGGTACTCGCATGACTCGAGTCTAGACGAGTCCTGTTCAGTGTCAATTGGTCTTACTTGATTTAGTATTCCCCAATTGATGCTTTTGTCATGTTTTTAGCTGTCCGATTGTTCTCCTCAGCTTTTCTTCTGTGCACATATCAACTGTCAATTTTTTAATGAAGGAACCATACCTACTCTTGTTTCAACAGATTCCTTCTTTGGTTCCCTCCTTTTTGAGGAAAGCTCATTTTCTGTGTGAATCGAAGTTTTGAACAATGACAAAATTGTCCATGGGTGCATTTATCGCACCCAAGGTGTTTGCAATCACTCGATTACACTTGATCGAGCTTGTCCTGTTGATTGTTCCGATTGAAATTCTAACTCAATCCTGTTTTTTTGTTCCTTTCGATCTGAAATGCATTCTGTTTCTGCTTTGTCCTCTTTGTTAATCTTATATCAGCTTTTCATGGTGCTTTTACAAGTGCTTGCTTTTAAAAGTGAGGTGCACCCAAGTCACTGTTGCCTCAATTTCACATATTGCCTATGGCTATTGAGTTAGACTATAAAAAGGCATTCTTTTTGCCATTGTTTTGGGGTTATCTCACCCCTACAATCTATCGATTATCTAATTTTTGTTATTCCATCATCCTACATTGTTATATATGAATCTGTCAGTCGTGTTTATAATCTCTTTCTTCTGTTTGTGTGTGATTTAGTGCGAATCCACCGTCAGTCACCCTCTCCGCAACGTAACAACTCAATAGTCTGTAAGGGTATCTCTGGAACAAATCATCTTGAGTATCAAGGGAATTTTTCGACGTACGCAAAGGACACTACTTTTTGTTGTTGTATGAAGTGTAACTTCTCTGTTTTAATCTACGTATACATATGAAATGTTAGTAAGACAATGGCTTTCCAAATTGCTATGTGAATCCTGAATACTTGCTATCTGTAAATTGGATCTCGTTCATATTTGTACATCCAATATTGCCCTTTGCTACTTTCTCTTTTAATCATCTCATTGACCTCCATAGCTTGGATCATCAAGCTTTTAGCATCATTGAAGATTGTTTGCAAAAGAACTACTATACAGCAGTATGGTCCAATTAATTTGAAGAATATCTTTCTGGTTTTGCTTATGCTGTAGTCATCACATGTATATTTCTTATCTTGCTTTTGATTCAGCTTTTGGATGACTTCAAACTGGTTCAAAAGCATCTTTCCAAAACCATCTACATTGATTGTTATCAACCAGTCATCATTGGTATATTAGCTGAATAAGGTTGTGATTTTGTTATGTTATGCGGGGCCTGAGTAATGTAGTATCAGTGTACATATGTGTGTTCCACAATCAATTGGCTCCGTTTTGCAATCTTATTCCAGTTAAAATCTGTTAAAATTGTATTTGAGACTTCTCCTTCATTTATCACTTGAGATGTGGTAGCCAGCCACCTCTTCAAAAGGGTCTCAAAACATATCAAATAAAAGTCTTGTTGATGTTGTGCAGTAATTCTTTGAGCAAGTTTTATTTCTCCCCATTGAGACAATTTCAGTTTGAGATTGATAGAGATCCGCTTTAGCCTCCTACACCGCATACCTAGAAAAATGGAACCAGACCAAGAACAAAGCAGTAAGGAAAAATGGCACACTGAAGCACAATGAAGCAGAGGTAAAAGGATTGTATTTCAAGTCAATCAAGTGAAGGAGACAGAATTATCAAGATAGAGCAGGAGCAAGGGAAGGTATAACATGGTATCAGACAACTCCTTATGGTAATTGAGACATTCATCAAATATTAAACTGTCTGCACTTGAATATGTGGAAATTGCCAAACAAAATCATAAAACTTGACAGCTACTCTTCCACTGGTAAATTTTGTTGCCTCAAGTTAAATGCCTATTTCATACCTATATGACGCTACAAGGTAAGACATTAGGAATAGTTAAAATTTGGCATATTCTTGGCAAAAAAAATGTCTTTTGTTTGTACCAGGAAGTTTCTTGTATTTATGCTAATAGGTGCATATCCAATCTTCTGGTTGACTCTTCAGATGCCCTTCATCACCACAAGAATCTACAAAGCAATTGGATCAATCCCTAAATCTCAGTCAGAATATCTTGACCACATCTTTCCTGTGAGAACTATTTGAACTCTGTGTTACAGCCAAGCTAAAGATGAGGCCTGATGATACAGAAAGGGAATACATCTTACCAGGCTATGGCTTGGTCAAGTCAACGGCGTTGCAGCTTTTGGACTCTGAAATAGGAGACTGTGTTATGGCACAAATGATAGCCAATTGCATGAAATGTAAGCTGTTTAGTGGCTTATTGAAGAGGAAAGAGCTGATACAATGTTTATCAGATTCTAAAGTGGAACCTTTATCAATAATTGCATGCAACTCAATATTCAATCACAAGACCAGAACATCCTATGACTTGAATGTTTTGGTTTGTTATGGAGGGGATGTGAAAGTTTCAATTTCTCAACCTTCATTACTTGGTATGGTAATGTCTGAGGATAAGAGAGAATAATGCCTCGTAATAAATTTTCTAGCATAGGAAAACTTGGACAGTTTTGGTCTTTGAGGTCATTCTTCAATGTCTGGATTAACCATCAATGGTACCAATGACAATTGAAGACTAGCTAATATTGAAACAACAAAATAACCCTTCAAAAGTCGTTGTAATGATTGAACACTTCTTTAATTAGCAAATGTTGAAAACAGCAATCACATTATTAAATAGGTCATGGTGAATACTTTTTACAATAGATACTAATTGTTCAATAAATGTTAATAAGAAGTGTCACATCTGTATAATGCTTTCCTTGATTAAACTCCCACATGTTTGAACAAGGTGACCATTTTTTGGTAAAATCACAACCAGTGTGAGTGAAGATAACTATTGTTATATGCAGACGTCATGCTTTGGGCATGTCAGTGTGAAAGTGGTACCAGACATCAGCTGTGATGTTGATACATGAATAGTTTTGAAGTTGTTGGCCCAGGTGAAATTGTGACATCTACAAGAGGGTAAGGTAAACAATTGCTCTGTTAATTAAGTATAGTCAACATGATTGATTCAATATCTTTGGAAATTGTCTGAAGGATCAATTCACCCACTCTTTCCACAGCTATGTGATAGTCGGTGGTGGGTTTCTATCTTCTGGGAAGACTGGTCTTCTCGACCGTGTGTGGTCCTGGAGTCGATAAAACCCCACCTCTGCTACTTCTTACCTCTTA